TGAATGATTAAATGATTTCAGTGGAATTTGGCCAAATTTTCATTCGGATTGTGGATCTCCGATAGGTCAAAGTTTAGATTTTTCTTATTTGGATTTGGGTGTCTCCGGATAAAGTATTTTATTATTTAGTAGTTTATGATTGTTTTGGGCCGAATGGTCGATGAAATTGGCCGAAGTTTCAGTGTATTCAAAAAGATTTTTTTATTTGGACAAAGTATCTCCGGATATAGTAGTTAATAGTAGTTTATGATTCTTTTGGGCTGAATGGTCGAGAAATTGGCCGAAGTTTCAGTGGAAGGGAGGTCAAAGAGATTTTCTTATTTGGACAAAGTATCTCGGATATGATTAATAGTAGTAGTTTATGATTTTTTGGGCTGAATGGTCGATGAAATTGGCCGAAGTTTCAGTGGACAAGGTCAAGAGATTTTTTATTTTGTATCTCCGGATATAGTAGGTAATAGTAGTAGTTTTGATTCTTCCGAATTCGGAAATTGGTGTTTCAGTCTGATTAAATGATTTTCTTATTTGGAAAAGTATCTCCGGATATAGTAGGTAATATAGTAGTAGTTTATGATTCTTTTTTCGAATTCGATGAAGGTGGCTCTTTCAGTGGAAGGTCAAAGAGATTTTCTTATTATTTGGATAAAGTTTAATAGTAGTGTTTATGATTCCGGATATTAGTAGTTTATGATTCGTGGGATTTATTTGGACAAAGTGTTGGGGAAATTTTAGGTATTCTATCTCCGGATTTTAATTCAGGTGTCTCGAAGTTTCATTGGAGGGAGGTCAAAAGAGATTTTCTTATTTGGACAAAGTATCTCCGGATATAGTAGGTAATAGTTCACAGTTTATGATTCTTTTGTTGAATGGTCTGAAATTGGCTTTTTCAGTGGAGGGAGGTCAAAATGATTTTCTTATTTGGACAAAGTATCTCCGGATGTAGGTGTTGTAGTTTATACATTCTTTTGGGCCGAATGGTCGATGAAATTCTTTTCAGTGGAGGGGAGGTCAAAGAGATTTTCTTATTTGGACAAAGTATCTCCGGATATAGTAGGTAATAGTAGTAGTTTATGATTCCATTTTAAAGAATGGAAAATGAAATTGGCCGAAGTTTTCAGTGGAGGGGAGGTCAAAAGATTTTTCTTATTTAGACAAAGTATCTCCGGATATAGTAGGTAATAGTAGTAGTTTATGATTCTTTTGGGCCGAATGGTCGATGAAATTGGCCGAAGTTTCAGTGGAGGGAGGTCAAAGAGATTTTTTCTTATTTGGACAAAGTATCTCCGGATATAGTAGGTAATAAGTATAATTCACAATGGGCCGAATGGTCGATGACTCCAGGCCATTGAACTCGCAACTATTTCAGTCAAGTCACTTTTTGGAACAATCAATCAATGCTTTTATCCACTGGGCTAACAAACGTCACCTAAAGAAGGCTGGAGCATACAATAACCAAAATGTTGTGAATATGACAGTAAAGATGAGGACTACAGTCCGAACAATGTAAATAGTGTAAATAGTTACTATACCTCATCTCAGAAATATAAACAGATTCTGAAGAAGGCAAGAGCATACAATGGCCGAAACGTCCAGAATATTGCATTAAAGATGAGGACTACAGTCCGAACAATGTAAATAGTTACAATACTGTTATATGCTCTGGTCATCTTCAGTTGATAATGAAATTTTGAACCTAACCCTTTATTCAGTCCATCTTGGGGATTTGTAGATTGTTCTAATTCCACATGACATGACTCTTTGGATATCTCAGTTTTCAGTTAATTCACATGACAGCTCTCCAAGTTTTTGTTCATTCACCAATGTTCCCAAGAACACATGGACCAGAGGATAAAAGCATTGGTTGATTGATTTGAAAAGTGTCTTGACTCAAACAGTTGTAAGTTCAGTCCCAGGCTTCAGCGGAGAGAACAAAAACAGGCTGAAATCTATATATTTTGTATGCCTTCAACTACAAATAAAATGCCTTGCTGGTCATTTTTCTATAAATAGGTATTGTTGGTAATTTTATTATAAATAGATATTGTTGGTACTTTTATTATAAATATGTATCATTGGTAATTATTTTATATAAAATGTATTGTTTATATTTTTACAATAAAGTACTTTATTTTTATACTTTCTTAGTTTTTTGTTTTTATTTGGGGAATGAAAACAGGAAGGAGCACTAAAATAAAAAAATCAGAACAAACGAAAAAATAGTGGAGCAAAGGAATAAAAACAAAAAAAAGAAGGAAAGTAAAGAGAAATATATGAAGAAAGAGAAAATACTGAAAAAAAATAGACAGCTGGTCTCAGAAATGACCTCCAATCTGTTGTTAATTGGAGCAAGGAGTGGCTTGTTAATTTTATCACCTCAGAAACAAAAATGCTCTTTTTTAATCATCTGAGAGAATTTTTTTTACCTTCCATCAGCATGGCTGATGCTAACCTCCAGGTGAGTGACTTGTTGCACCTTCTCAGACGAACATTCTCCATTGACATGGAGTGGAAAGAGTATATTGAATCAGTCCGTCTTACATATTTGTAAGTCTATCATTGACTTTTGCTTTGAATATTGCCGTTGTAACTGGTCTGGTGCTCCTGTTATATATTTAGATAAAATCCCAAGAAGAATCTGCAATATTATTGGTCCTGACCTGGCATTTTGGCTTCAGTTACTTTTCCACTGCTGTAACATAGCTTCCCATATTGCCATCTTCTGTCTTAATTCTCTCTCTCTCATAATAGTTTTTTTCATATTCTCTAACATTCAGTAACTCCCTTTGTGTCCTAGTGGCTTTATTGCCTTGCGCAAGGAAAAGAAATTAAGGAAAGAAAAATGAAACATATAAAAGGAAGAAAGTAAAAAACAAAAAAGCTAGAAAGCCAAATATGAAGAAGTAAAAGAAAACTTTGAATGAAAAAGAAGTAGAGTGGAGGAAAATGAAAAAGAAAGAGAAGAAAAGAAAGAGAAGAAAAGAAAGAGAAGAAAAAAGAGAAGAAAAGAAAGAGAAGAAAAGAAAGAGAAAAAAAAGAAGAGAACAGATGAAAAAGAGGAAAGAAAATATTTTGATAAAGGAGAGGTAAAAAAAAATAAAATCCCCCCCACTCAGATGAAATCAAAAAAGAAATAAATAAAAGAAAAAATCTTTACATAAAAAAGAAAGAGAGAAAAAAAAAAGATTGCAAAAGATAAAATGAATGAAGAAAAATTGAAAAGAAAAGAAAAATGAAATTCAAAATTACATAGAAAAAGAAGAAAAAAAAAAAGAAAAGAAAAAAATTAACCCCATTTGGGATGGTTGTGTGGTTGGGGAAGGTCAATTACTTCATGGGCAGGGAAGAAAATATGTCTTCTGTGTAATACAGTATTTATAAATGGATTCAGTTGAGCTTTCACACACAATTATGAGAATGCACGCTGACCCAGTTAGGGTTCCATTTCCCTTCCTGTTAAACTTTCCTTCTATCTCCGGTGGGGCGGGGGGGGTACTGACAACAGGAGACTGGCTTGGTCACCTTGAAACAAAAACAAGGTCTTACTCATAAAGAAAACAAATGCTGTGTAAAGTTTATATTTTGCTAAGGGAAAATCAAACATACCTGTCATCATCATGGCTGAGAAATAAAAACAATATTTTATTGTCACTTTTTATTTATTTTAATTCATAGCTTTTGGGTCAATTTCAATAGTGAATATGAAAAGTTAAACTTTCTATCCTAAAATTTAAATGCAATGTCAATTGCTGGCTACTGTCTTCCTTACTGTTTATTCACTTGTGTTTTCCAATTACAACAATCTTCAAGTCTAGGTTTAACCAGTATCTTTCCTTTATAGCCCCATGAACTTCATCTCATGCCCTTTCTTGCACTTATACAACATGACACAGTAACCAACTATTTTGAGTGGCTCTTGGGCCTTTTACTGGGTGAAAATTAATAACAATAACAAAAAAAAACACTATTATTTTATTGCTGTTTTTCCTCATTTAAAGTCTTCTCAATCTCTTTCACTCTCAGCAACCCATTGTGTCTTAGTGGCATTATCGCTATCTTATGTCTTCTTGAAACCTGTTCTTTCTCTTCACTAAAGTCTTCTTGTTCTGTTTCACTCCCAGTAAGCGCCTTGAGTCTTAGTGGCATTATTGCCCTCTTCTGTTTTCCTGATATCTGTTCTTTTATTCTCCTTTCTTCTCACTAAAGTCTTCTCATTCTCTTTCCCTCCCAGTAACCCATTGTGTCTTAGTGGCATTATCACCTTGCTAGAGGTAAAATGATAAAACAAACAAAACAAAAGCTGACATTCTAGAACTTAAGCAATCTGTTAGTTGAAAGGAACTCACTTGTCTCCACTCCACTATCTTTTGTTTGAAATTCTAAAAGCCAATGAACATTTTTCCATTGGCAAAAAAATGTAACCCTGCCCCACATATACACACACACATATATATATATATATATATATATATATATATATATATATATATATATATATATATATATATATTTATATATATTTTAACTTTCTTTCACAGGTGAAGAAGAGGACATGAGGTAACAGAGATGTGGTTCTAGAAAAGGATACAGAGAATAGCACAGACATATCATATGAGGAACAAGGAGTTTCTAAAGAAAATGGAAAACAAAAAAGGGACTCATCTAGATTTGGAATAGATCAAGTTTACTGTTTTCCTATAACTGGGACCCTAACAGGTGCTACCACCCCAAATCAGGGTGGACCTGGAAACACCAGCACTTAAGATCAGAAGCCTTGCTGCCAGATGTAGTTTATCACCATACCAAGGATGGCGAATTGGTATATGTGTGCGTGGGTGTGTGTGGGGGGGGTCTTAACCCTTTGCAGAGGTGCAGTCGGAGTATTCTGAACCCCCAGCCGAAAGGGTGGTTAAGGAGTTGAAGCAAAAAAATAAAAACCAACAAACATACTGGCTTTCGTTGAATATTTTCTCAAATGCTGATCCATATAAACTGCCAGTGACATTCTGAAAGTAGGCAAAATATTCTTGCTGGGACATGTTTGCATTACTGAAGTTAGTGAATTTAAGCAGGCCTTGTGGTAAATTGAACATCTGGAAAGCAAAAAAGAAAAAAAACAGCTGTTTTACAAAAAATCTGAACTGAAAATTTTTATTTTTTATTACATATTTTGACTTTTATGAATGATGGACAATATGAATAAAAACAAAAGGTAAACTTATCTTAGCCACTGCATTTCATCCTCTGAGAAATGTTATCAAGGCAAATGCAAGGATTTTCTAACAATTATTTATATACAAGAGCAAAAATGTTTTGGCTTTTCCAAATTTTTAAGTTTAGGAACACATAAATATTCATCAGGTTAGCTGAAAAGTCAGGCAAGCTATGGAGGACACAGAGTGATACAATTTAATAAATGTAAGTGAGTGAGTGATGTTTTAGAAATTTTTGTGCAAATTAGTATCTAAATTATTTTAGTTTGAGATTGAGATTGTTATCTATTTTGAATAAAATGAGGTTATAAGTTTAACCATTTTCTTTTAATTTTTTAGTATTTTTGTGGTCATGTATTATTGGTTTGAGAAAAGAGTAATTCTTTCAGGAAAGGAGATATTAGGGAGAATCCAGGGCTCAGATTTATATTTTGATAAAATTCAATAATAGCACTTTCAAGAATTGTCCTTCTAAGTTACTTTCTTAATAAATATGGCATTCGAGAAGAAAAAATAGTTGTGGTTAAACTTTTTTTATGCATAAAATAATGCATTTGATAAATTGATGTAAGATCCCTTTTTTGTTCATGTGTTTTTTAAATTTCTGCAAGTTACCCCCAATGTATTCCTCACAATTTATTCATATAAATCTTTGTATGGTTTAAGGATTTTGTAAAAATCAACTGTAAAATACTGGACTTAGGATGGAAAGAGGGATTTTGAATGGAAGCAGGACGAAGCATGTTGCACTGAAACATTCACTCCAAAAGCACAAAACAAGCACAATGCCTGCAGACATCCAAAAGGGATTGAAGTGTAATATGTGTGGATGCTTCCTTCATTAAAGAACAGATAAAACGAGACACATTGATCCCTAAGGAAGATCTTTTAGGAGCTATGACAGATAGGGAATACTGGAGAGGTGTAGTGAGTTCAATCTTGGCTGAGGCCGCAGGATGATGATGATGAAAGAACAGATTTGTTAAATCACCTGAAGTCACACAGGCAAAGAAGGAATCAGGCAGTTTGCCATAAAGTTTTGTCATAATGTCTTTTACTACAGCATGCCTCTGCTATATGTGGCTTACTATATAAGTTAACTAGTGGAGGAAACAGGAGAAACAGAGACTCAACAGTGCCAGTGAGGATGAAGAAGAAGAAGAAGAAGAAAAACCCAGGTTTGGGCGTGGCAGGACTGTGAAATGGATTACTGCAATTAAAAGAAATCATATTCCACTTGTTCTGATTTCTAACATTTGGTTTTGTTTTCTTTCTTCACAAAAATTTGAATACTCTGTCTTGTTCCAATTGATGCTTAGTCCTTTCTTCTTGCTTTCCTTAACTACCTTCTGTAGAAGTTCCTGACTTACCTTGTCAAAACAGGAGACAGCATCTGTCTATATTTCTGAGATGAGTTATTATGCACAGTATTTACATTAGTCGGACTATTGTCCTCATCTTTTTCGCCATATTTGTCACAACGTTTCGATCACCTGAAGAAGGCCGGAGCGTACAACGGCCGAAACGTTGTGACAAATATGGCAACAAAGATGAGGACAATAGTCCGACTAATGTAAATACAGGTGACAGCATGTAGTATATGTTATCTACCAACAAAAAAGGGGGGGGTCATGTGACTTCTCTTTTTATATTGAGAACGTCATGCAAATTTTTTGTGTCATCTGAACTAATCACTGACTTCTGACTTACATATAAGCTGAGTAACTTGTGTGATTAATCAGTTTTTTTTATTCTCTGTGGTGTGTGAAAGACACATCTGTATCATATGGATTTGCAACCTATGAAGGTCAGCTGACTGAAGCGGACCTCACAAGAATGATGTCAAACAACCCTGACAAAGAAGATCAGTTTGTGGAGTGGACTTGATGACTTTTTTAGATGAAAGCTGACAAGACAAAGAATTCTCCTCTATATAAGACAGTGGCCCCTAGAACATTAAGACAGAGGACTATCACTCACCACACAAAAGTAAGGTGTCGCTAGTTAGACTATTCCCCCCTCACCTCATTCTGCCTCGCTTGTCTACAGCAAACACTTACAAGGTTACAATTGAATAAAATTTGCTGACTGTTACAATTTTGTCTCATGGTTTTATTTTATGGGTAACAACCTGGCCAGACAATTATTTTCCTTGAATTAAGCGACAAGAGTTTAACTACCAGAAGCTGCCCCCTGCAATTGAACCTGGTGTCTGGTGTGAGTAGCAATGCTACACTATGGATTTGCAACTTTTAGAACTCTTCAACAACATTTAATTACAGAGAAATATAAATAAGAAATCAAAAAATAAGTTGAAGAAAAAAGTTAAAAAAATGAAGACTGATGTGTAAAGTGATTAAGGTAATTACCTTGATCCATGCAAGAGCCTGTTGATATCCAATGGTGATGAGCTCATCTTTGCACATCATGTTATACACTTCACTCATCCCAGGGAAGCTGCTGCTATTCATAGTTTTGGTCAATTCACATGCAATCGATTTCAAATGGAGGCCAAAAATCTGCAGAAAAAAAAGGCCAAATTCTCAGACCTGATAAAATTCTAAATAAGATTTAAGAAATCTGTCTATATTTCTAAGATGAGGTATTATGTACACTATTTACATTATTCGGACTATTGTCCTCATCTTTGTCGCCATATTTATTACATTTCAGCTCTTTCAGTATCTGTCTATATTTCTGAGATGAGGTATTATGTACACTATTTACATTATTCGGACTATTGTCCTCATCTTTGTTGCCATATTTATTACGTTTTGGCCTCAAAAATCTCTTGAGTTGACTAAGCATAGAAAAGAATACAATATGGGAACCAGTAATATGGAGTGCCAGAGAAAAGCAATAATAACAGCAAAAATTGCAATATGAGATCTGGTAAAAAATTTAAGACATTAGGTTTATAATAGCCAGAAATTCATACACAGATGTCCTCAAGGACACATGGCACAGTAGATAAAGGCATTAATTAGATCCAGTGACAGGACCCAAAAAGTGTGAGTTCAATACTCGGTTAAAGCAGTGGAGAACTTGGAGAGGGGAATTAACAGGAGATAACTGATAACTGACATCCATTAGACATGGCATGTGGAACTAGGACAGTCTACCTCAGTGAGTGAAATAAAGGGTTCAGTTCGATATTCCATCCACCTGAAGAAGACCGGGGTGTACAACGGCCAAAATGTTGTAATAAATATGGCGACAAAGATGAAGACAATAGGAATTTAGGAATCTGTCTATATTTCTAAGATGAGGTATTGTAAATATTTACACTATTTAAATTGTTTGAACTCTTGTCCTCATCTTTGTTGCAATATTCACAATATTTTGGTTGTTTTATGCTCCTGCCTTCTTCATGATCTGTCTGTATTTCTGAGATAAGCTATTGTAACTATTTGCACTATTTACATTGTTTGGATTATTGTCCTCATCTTTATTATCATATTTACAACGTTTCCACTGGGCTATGTGTCCTTTTTTATATTTTCAAATATAATCTGATTTCAGGAATGTTATAATTATATTTATTTTAATATTTTCGAATAGTCCTTTCAGGATGCTTGCCTTGAAGAAATTGTATCTTTTGCATCAATGCATTTAATTTCTTTTTGTTTTTTAACAGTAAGGTTCATGTTATATGAGGCCTGGGTGCCACTTGAGGTAGAGGGTTACTTTAAAGGTTAGGTTATATGGATAGGAGGGGGAAGACAAAATTCTAGACTTGAACAGGTTAAAATTGTAGTGATCGGGGAAACATCCACTTGGGAGTCTGTTACACAGGGCAGTCATTCGTGTGAAGAAGCTGTTTGAGTGGAACTTACTTCTCCTCAATGGAAGACTAAGGGAATGTCAGTTGTTTGTTACTATTTAAGTGACATGGTGGCTCTTGGCTGTGAAGATTAGAACTGGCAGAATCAAGACAGGTACTAGCAATAGAGTAGTGAGAGACTTACTACCTCTCACCTGTGGAAGAGAGGTTGGAGGGTGGAAAATAATTCTTCTCCAACAAGGACTTGGAGACACTTTTGAACTCAAGACTAAAAGTGAGGTCCTGCCCAAATATGGCAACAGTACTCCATTAAAATGTTTTTTTTTTTTTTCTATATGGTGGGTTTGGCATCATGATGCTTCAGGTTTCAGTAAGAATGAATGTGTAATTTTAGTGTAACCTATTCATGATTTGGTTTGATTGTTTTGTCTTGTGGCATATCAACACCTCAATGGGTTATTTAATGCTGACAAGATTTTTATTGCTGGTAATATTTTTTTCCTTCAAAAAATGTATTACTGGTAATAATTTTTCTTCAAAAATTTATTGCTGGTAATAATTATTTACAAAAATCTATTGCTGGTACTAAAATTTATTTTTACACTTTCATAGTGTTTTGACCCCAGTTTGGGGGTTAACTATTTGCCCATAACTAGGACCCTAACAGGTGCTACCACCATGGGTCTGGGTGAACTTGGGAACAGCAGCAATTGAGAGGTAGTTCCACACTCCTCAAAACCTCTTGATGAGAGACCTTGCTGTCAGATAAACTGTTCAAGTGAAACTTCCTTCTCTCTGATGGAATACCGAGGGAAAGTGGCTGGTTTGCTACAATGGTTTATTTTTCCATATAGTGACTTTGGTACCATGATGGTTCTTGCTTCACTAAGAATGAATGCATAATTTTATTGTGACTTATTCATGTTCAGTTGGAAACTGAAGATGGCCAGAGTGTTCTGTCCATGTTTTGGGATATCTTGTCTAGTTCTTATTTTTAGTACTACTCACTTATTGGCCACCCTGTTTTCACTCAGTCCAAGTTAATGTTAATGGCTGGCTGCATATATCCGAGTATACCTGTATGAACAAGGCCAGTATGCTCAAACTCTGTCACAATGACTTGTGACGTTGTGCTAGCATAAGAATTGATGGCCCTCACATAGTTTTGTCTACCCAGTTTTACTGACAAGGCTTGGGTTAAGCCATGGTATGGCTTTCAGGCACTTTCTAAAGGGACCACATACTGAGATCACCTCACCAGGCCAATAACATTAAGAAATCACCTTGACAAATAGACCAAGGTGAGATTTAAACCAGAGTTTCATGATTAGAAAATCTTCTAACCACTCAGAGTCCAAGTATAAACAGCCCATACAATGGATTAAACTCACAATTAAGTTTTTTTAATCATTTCACCCACTAGCATGCAGCAGGGTTACAGGGAGTGAAATTGAGAGAAAAGACTGAGTATAGGGAAGATTAAGGAAAGGACAAAAGATGAATGGAATTCAAGAAGATAAAAGATGGTGATTGATGTTGCGTTTAAATTTTTGAAGATTGTAGTTATCAGGGAATCAAGTAAGAGGAAGGGAGTTCCACAGGTGGGAAGTGCAAGAAAAGAAACTCTTGGAGTAGAAGTGGTGGTTGCATTTAGTTACTTCAACAGTAAATGAGTGGGAGCTATATGTCAATCACATAGCACACATGTAGTTAGGGCACCAGGGAAAAAAGCTCATCAGAGCAGTTGCTATGAAAATATTTGTAGAAAAGACAGAGGGAAGCCACATCACATAGTGAGAAAGTGACTGAAGTTGTGATGCCAAGTCAGGATTAATTACTTTACAGATCCCTCTTTAAATCTTTTCAAAAAGTTTGAGATGAACATCAGGAGCACCAGAGCAGATATTGCAGCAGTATTCAATGGTACATTTGTAAATATGCAAGATGGATTCAGACAAAAAAAGTTTCAGGCATGACACAGTGAACCAACTTTCCTTGCAGTAGATGCATCTATTGATTCAATATCATTGTTCCACTTTTTGTGATAACAACAACAAAAACAAAATGGAGACATTTAAGTAAATAGTTCCCAGGTAAATAATGTAAATAATATTATGTTGGTGCAAAAATAATGTCGTTTTCTCACATATGTTACGTTTATATATGATTTCTGAATTAATTCATTGATATATATAGCCATGTTATATATCATTTTGAAGCTCGTTTTTCGCTCTATCGAATCGTGTTATTCGTTACCGTTCTCAATCTCTTCATTCATTTTTTTGCAGGCTTTTCGACAGCATGGACAAAACTCAAATCCGCACGATTTTCTTGTTCCAGTTCAAACTAGGCCGAAAAGCTGCCGAGACAGTTCGTGATATCAATGATGTGTTTGGCCCAGGGACCACTAACGAACGTGTGGCACAACGGTGGTTCAAAAAATTTCGCAATGGTGATGAGAGCCTCGAAGATGAAGACAGTCGCGGCGGGCCGACTGCGGTTGATAACGAACATTTGAAAGCCTTAATTGAAATCCTCGCAAAACCACACGAGAAGTTACTGTTGAACTCGAGATTGACCACTCAACAGTCATTCGCCATTCAAAGCAAATAGGGAAGTCAAAAAAGTTGGATAAATGGGTGCTGCATGAATTGAACGATAATCAAAAAAATCGTTGTTTTGAGGTGTCTTCTACACCCCTTCTGCGCAACAAAAACGACCCATTTCTCGAGCGGATTGTGACGTGTGATGAGAAGTGGATCCTCTACGACAACCGGTGACGTTCGGCACAGTGGTTGGATGCCGGAGAAGCTCCACAACACTTCCTGAAGCTGAAATTGCACCAAAAAAAAGATTATGGTGACTGTTTGGTGGTCTGCGGCCAGTCTCATCCATCACAGCTTCTTGAATCTGGGCGAAACGATTACAGTGGAGAAGTACTGCTGAAAAATTGACGAAATGCACCAGAAGCTCCAACGTATGTGCTCGAGATTGGTCAATATGAAGGGACCAATTCTCCTCCATGACAACGCTCGCCTGCATGTTGCTCAACTGACCCTGCAGAAGCTGAACGAATTGGGCTACGAGACTCTGCCTCATCCGCCATATTCACCGGACCTCTCGCCCACCGATTATCCCTTTTTCAAACATCTCAACAACTTCCTGCATGAAAAATGCTTTAAAAAGCCGAGATGATGCCGAATCGGCCTTCAATGACTTCATCGCTTCCAGAACTCCAGATTTCTATGCTAATGGGATAAATAAACTTGTTTCTCGTTGGCAAAAATGTGTCGATTCTAATGGTTCTTATTTCAATTAATAAAGTTTATTATGAAAGGAGTTATGATCTTCGAAATTGAACGTCAAAAAACGACATTATTTTTGCACCAACCTAATAACACATCAGAAATTTTGTAAAAGATTTTAAAATGTCGCCATGTAAAATTTTGTGAAAAGTAACCAGAGATTTTCTTTTTCACAAACATAAACAAACTGCAAATGAAAGTTATCAGAATTAGATTTGATGACAGATGAAGTGAAAAATCAAAATCAAATCTATTGGAAATAATGTAGTCACAAAAATTGTTACCTGCATTGGACATGAAGTAATGGTTTTGTAGATATCGAAAAGTTCATGTCAGGAGTTTATTCAACAAAAATTGCTTTAGAACTGTCTCGTTCTGATCTTCTCAATATATCCTGAAGACTCGCATTGAAGTCTAAAAAACAAAGACATTTTACTGATTAACAAGATGCCTGATCAGACAATACTGTGACAAAACTTGTTTTAGACATTCACTTCAAAAACCTGGTTCCAGACCCATATCTTTTTATTTCTACTTGGGTGTGTGTGTGTGTAAAATTCCTTTTTTCAAATTTTAGTTAATTTCACCCATTTAGTTTTAAATCAGTTACAGTTTTTTTTTTTTTTTTTTTTTTAAATCAATTCAACCTAAGTAAGTGATAATGCCACTAAGATGTAAGGGGCTACTGGATGTGAGAGAGAAGGAAAAGACTTTAGAAGGAACTGGAAATTTAATCCTAAACAAGAAACAAGGGGTACACCTCTACTCCTGTTCAAAAGACTGAGGAAGAGTCTGAACATGATGATAGATGAACCTAATCTACTTTTATTGAGGAAAATAAAATAAATAGTAAATAAAATTACAGAGCTCGCATGGAGACATTAGAAGTATAGAGTTGAAGCAGACTTTAAAAATAAATAAATACAGTGATACCGTGACTTAAGTTGTTTCGAGTTAAGTCATTTTTCAAGATATGTTAGTTTTTCTTAAATATTATATGAAAAATAAAATTTGTCTTGTTTTACTTGAGTTTATGTCAGCTGTTAAAAATATTAGAAATGTCAAAACACTAAAATAACAGTAAACACACATAAAATCATATTTAAATAAATTAAAAAAAATATTACACATACTTAATATATATATATATCATAAAATAATTAAAAACAAAAAAATAGCAGATGTTCAGGAAATGGTCTTATTTCAAATTCTTGTCAACATTTTAGGCAAATTTGCATTGTTTTCGTATGAACAACTATGATTTTGAGCCACACTTTTCTACATTATGATTTAGAATTTTGTCTATGGCTTTGAACAAAAATCCCAATGCTATGTGTAAGTCAATATGGCTGGAAGATAAGGTAGAAATTAATCACTTTATTCAGAATACCCTATGTACATATAGATACTGTAATAAACAATGGGAAGTGCTTATTTGTGGTTTATAGTGTGGTTATTTGGACTTGTTTTTTTTTTCTGGAACCAATTAATGATGTAGAGAGCATTATAATGATTTGTAGTAAATAAAATTTCAGAGTTCATATGAAGACATTACATGTATAAAGTAAAAATTTTAAAATAAATAGTAAATAGAATTTCAGAGTTTAAAAAGCATTAAAAGTCTTTTTTCATTTCTTAATAAATTTTAACTACTTATTTAGGTTTTAACATAGTTTTAAGTTGCATTGTCTCAAAAAAATGATTTTTATATAGGATATATATATATATATATGATCAGATATATATACAAGGCCGAATTTAACGTTAAGTATCCGAGCCTGTAGATTTCAGACAAAAAATTAGATGTTTAGACTTTATTTAAAACAAGAATCATTTATTATTTTTCGTCTACCTGAGACGAAATATTCGACAAGCTTGTCTAAAAGGATCTTCTCTGCCAAGAGAGTTTGACCAGCACAGCTGGAGACAAATATCCAACTGCATTTTGGATAAAACGAGCGTCTGTTAAAATTGGAATCATATATCAGTTCATAAATTATCCTTCAAAATGGTGTGGCGTGTTTGTAGGTCTGGGGAGTCAAACAGTGAGAAAAAAAGTGTGGATTTTCCTGATCATATAAAGACATATAAAACAGAAAAAATTAAATAATTTTTAACTTGCATAGAATTAAAAAATAACAAATATGTATGAAGTAATTGGCTGTTGGGTGTGCATAAAGTATCATGGTTATCGCAGATGAAAATGCAAAGGACATGGCTGAGTTCAATTTCCACTCAAATCTGTTTCATTCACTTTGCCCTAATATCGTTGGAAATATCATGAATCCTTTTCCCTCTATGTATAAATTAAATAGTAGGGTAGAATGGGTTCTCTAACCTTGGATGGCAATCAATCTTGGAAAAGTAAAACACTAAATCCAAACTCCTTATAGATATAACTTTTTACTACTGCTCAACCAATATAAAGCGTAAGTGCAGTGACAGATTTACCATTTTAGCCTTATTGTAAGCAGGGATTCCGATTTAGCCAGGTGGGCCCTGTCTTCCACCCATGCCTTTATGCATCTTCAATATGTTCCTTCCAGGGCCCAAACAAGGGACTGACTTTACCATGAAAGTGCTTCATTTGATAAGTGATTAAGGTAGATGGAAACTGAATAGGGATGTTGTTTGGGTATATAGGGAGAGAGACATGGGTTACATATTATGAGGATATGTAGGATAGATAACAGTTAATTGTAGACTTGAAAAGGTTAAGAATATATTGATTAGGGATGGAGCAGGAAAGGAATGAGGATGAGTTGACTCTGTGGATGTGACATGGCGGGTTCTGTTTGTGAAGGTCTGGACTGGTGGAACCAAGGAATGTAGTTCGTCTGAACATCTGCCATGAAAATAATTATATAATGAAAGGCTTGCAATGTTTCATATGCGGGGAAGAGGTTCAAGGCTTGAAAATAATTCATGTCCTACAAGGCTGCGCAAGAGTTTTTTAAATTGGTCGAGGCTGAAAAGTGTGGATTGTTCAGCTCCTGTCCAGAATTGAAACGCATGTTAAACAGTAAATCTGACAAAGATCCCCTAATTCAGTTGGATAGCATACCATATTAACACCAAGAAACTGTTGCATCAGCACTAAACTGTAGTAGCCATCTTTTTTTGGACTCTATGTTTTTTAAAATATGAAATTCAAAGACTTTACCTTTTGACCTGTCACGCTCTGGGATACACCATCATCCCCAAGAGAGATGAATTTCAACCCAATGCAATATAAATAGTTATAAAAGTATATATATATTTTTATATATATATATATTTATACTATGTCTTCAATGGTTAAATATACATTTGTTTATCTCCGTTTTTTCACAAACTGGTAACATCAAGATGGAAATTTGATTTCTTAGCAAAATTATTCAAGATTTTACAAAACACATCTTGACCAATAACTCTCTCTATTAAAATTAAACTATAAATATCTTCTTACTGGATTTCAGCGTCCAAGATACCCCAACTTGTCGGACTGTTGTTTTATGATGGATAAATTAAAAAAAAAAAACCAAGCTAGACAGTTCATCATTAAATCAGCTACATCCTTTCCTCTTCGTATGTTTGGTCTAAAGAAAAGTACATTCTCTGACATTTGTTTATTTTATTTTAATATATATATATATTTATATATGGCGGTATATATGCTGATTGGTCGATTTGGGGACGTTTTGAGAACAAGGCCAACGGATTTTACAGGCCATGTTTTTGGTCAATAAAAACAGTCTGGGACATTGACTGAGAGTGCAGCTGGGACCGTGGTGACATGCACTGTTATAGAGTTTCGTATTAAGTTATATATGTTTATTTTTGTCTGGAATATGGATATATATTTGAATATATATATAGAGTGAGCAGTGTAATTACCGGTGTCTACTGAAACATGGAAGGAACACACTGAACGTCAACAATTATATAATTGTCCCCATGTTGTATAGCCCTTTTGTGCTGGGGGTAGTCTTGGAGCAATGGTCTTGATTCGCACATAAAGTTGAAGCCCTTTCTTAATTGTCTCAATGCCAGTTATTTTGTTCAGAGGTAAAACGAGAGAACTTCAACAAAGGAATTTTAACCCCTACCTATTTTATTCACCACATTGACACTTACATTTTTAATACACCACATTGATGTACGCATCTAACTAGTCAATGGAGTTGCTATCACACACCACTGGGGAGTAATTTCCAGACACAAAGAAGCATGTGTGCATTTTTTGATGTGGAAAACTTCCTGAAATCTCTTTCTATCTCTAACATGCTAGTTTTAGCCGATCAAAAATGGCTTCCTTTGTTTTCCTGTATCTGACTTCAAAAGATCAAAATGAGGAATTCAAAGCAAAAATACAATTCTCTAAAAAATAATAGTCTATGAAATTAATATATAACATCCCAAGAAAATTGTCTGTAAAAGTATAGAAACATTTGTTGAGACATCCTGTATATCCAAATTTTAAGTTACTAAGAAGTTGGTACTTACCAGAATTATTGCCTGACCTGTTGTTTGCGGAGTGCAAGAAATTAGCCAGAAGATTTCGCAACATAGTTGAACTGAAAATGATTGACAAATGAAAATTAATTAATTGATATCACAAAACAGGCTGTGATAAATTTTATATACATATATATATGGAAATTGTAAAAAAAAATGGAAAAAGTTTATTTGTGAAGTATTTCATCTGATGAGGAATCGAACAGACAAATCCTATGGTAACCCAAATTAAAGGCCGACTTTTTCCATTATACTCTTTTAATTTCAAGAACAGATTGTAATAACAAAAAGAGCAAGAGTAGGCTCAAGGAAACTTTATACTGCTTAGAATAATTGATACCAGTGTATTTGCAGCCCTCTACAAATGAAAGAGTTCTCCAAAGGCAGGTAATCATAAAACAAGGGAGTTTACTCACAATTCCTTTATCAGACCGCTCTTGATATATAAAACTATGTATCATTATTTCATATATATATATATATATATATATATATATAATTTCATATATATATAAAATTTCATATCATATACATATATAAAATAAATATATATAATAAATATGCTGTGATGAATCTTAGAATAGTCAGTAAATACTAGTTAGTAACAAATTTTAGAACAGAAAGTAAATTCTAGTTAATAGCTACATTTTAGAATAGAGACAAATAAGGAAGCTTTTACTTACACAGAGTTGTTATTTACCATCGATTTCATAATATCTTGAATGACTGCTTCGTTGGAGGATTTCTTAGCAGACATAATTTCCAGGATGCTCTTCAAAATATGTTCTGTTCCATTTATTTGAGTTTTTAATTGCTGCATAATTTGGGATAGGAACAGTTTTGAAATCTATAAAATTGAAAAAATAATTTTATTATTTTCTAGAGAATAACTGACGAAACCAGACCCACCGTGAAGCCTAAAAAGCAATGAAATTTGCTAATTAACATCCATAACCCTAACACTGATCAGACAATACTGTGACAAGACTTGTTTTGGACATTCACTCTAAAAACCTGATTCTAGGCCAGTGTCACTGATTTTTTTTTTTTAGAAAAAGATAGAATATTGATTATTAGTGCATAAAATGCAACTGACATGCTGAGTTCAATTTCTAGTTGATTCCATTTACTTATATGGAATAGACAGAAATTGATTTTTCTCCAGCTATGGGTTAAATAGCAAAATAAACTGATGTTTGAACAATGATGGGCTCTATCTTGCACCACTGCTGTGATGGCTGTAATACAGGGTTGTGCCCTTACAACAACCCTAATGGGTTATGGGACTTGTGATGTGACAATTTTCATTCAGTCATGTTATTGAATATGACATGACCTTTGATTTCACTATCCATGACCTATTTTGGGATGCTACCTCATTGGTATCATCTGTAGTAAATAAGATTTGTTGGTTGAAATGGCCTATCCACTTTTCCTCACTAATTATATAGAACAAAATATAACAAATATTTACTAAGTTATTGGTTGTAGGATGTGCAGGTAGAATATTGGTTATTAGTGCATAAAATGAAACTGGCATGCTCGGTTCAATTTCAACTCCTTTCTGTTACATTCACTTAGCACTAATATCCTTAGAAATGTCATGAATCTGTTTCCCTCTAGGTATAAATTAAATAGTAGGGTAGAATGGGTTCTACAGCCTTGGATGGCAGCCAGTTTTGGAAAATGAAACAATTAATTCAAATATCATTATTTTGAAATCAGTTACATTATTTGTATATCAGTTATGACAAACAAAAAGTTGCAAATATTTGCTAAGTCTGTAAGATGTGCTGGTAGAGTATTGGCTGTCAGTGCTTAGAATGAAATTGGTATGCCAAGTTCAAATTCAGACAAAATCTGTTTCATTTACTCTGCACAAATACTCTTGACGCGGATGTAGTTTATCATCATACCCAGGATGGGAGTTATTTTGTTTAGGTATTTTTGTCTATATATTTCTGTATTCTGGTAGGTCACATTTTTATGGCTGCTGGTGGGTTATTATTTTTAGGTTGGTATATATTTATAAGTCTGTGTTTTCTGAATAGTCATTTTAATATTTGTTAGTTTGGGTTAATAAGACAAACGCCAAATAACACGTAACAATAAAAAGGGGTTTATTTGGTTGTAAGTATTGGTACAGAAATCGCCTGAGTAGTGTATGGTTTGCTCAGCACAAGAACTTCATTTTAAGCATATATCTGTCTTTTTGATATCATGACTATTTAACGTCTTTGTTTGTAGATCAAGTTCATCTTCAACATTGTCAGGTGGTAGGTTTCCTACAGAATAATATTTAAATTCTGGTGTGGGTCTTTTAAGAAATTCTTAGTTTATCATCTGGTTTAGTATTTCTGAATAAGACTTTTCAGTTAGTAACTCATGTTAGTATTTCATTTGGATCTTTCCTTTTTCAGCTTGGTACAATTTATAAGTCTATGTTTTACTGTAAGAAATAAAATGTGTATGGTTAATTTTTGACATATTAATGCACATTGGGGCTCACATCTTTGAGCAGATTTTTTTTTAATCAATTCTGCCTTATGTAATATATATATATATATATATATATATATATATATATATCATCTTTTGAGTGCTAATGCAATATTTATGAGTCTCTGAATTACCATAGATAATAAGATTTTCTCACAGATATTGGGTCTGAATTTGAAAGGCCATTTTTTTTGATGTTGAAAACTTGGTGATCCACAGAACGCAGCTCCTCAAATTAATTAAACTAATATCCATTACATCACCCACACATTCAATCATCTGCTTGATCATATGAACGGCTCTTCTGTTGTTCAGATTCCCAAGTTTATCGTCATCCCCAGGATGCGTGTTAAAATTTTAATTCTATATATTTCTGTATTCTGGTAGGTCAGATATTTTTATGGCTGCTGGTGGGCATTATTATTATTTTAGGTAATGGTATATATTTAAATTCTGGTGTGAGTACGAGGTCTAATTCCAAATGTCTTTTAAGAACTGTCAGTTTATCAGGTTGCTTCAGGTTTAGTCGATTAATTTCTGAATAAGTCTTAATTTATTTACTGACCAATAGTATTTAAATTCGATTCTCTAATTAATAATTCCAAGATTTCATTAACTATTTACACATTTATTAAGTCTATGTTTTACTGTGTATAGTTCCTGACATATAGTGCACATTGGCGCATTTTGTTTACACCACCTGCACAAGCAGATATCAGTTGAGTTCTAACTTGTGATCTGAGTCTCTGAATAACAATCCAGTCTTCTCACAGACATTGTCAGGCCACCTTTTTTCTCAACTTCACTCATCTAGTTGCCTTGTAAGGTGGAGGTTGCTTAAAGTTAAATTCCGAACATTATCCATTTACCTGCACATCAATACCTAGATGGGTGACATCCATCTTGGAAATACCAGGTGCTGTAAGCTTGGATGTGCAGGTGGTTTAATTGGATAAACATTCTTTTCAGAATTGTAGATACTGTCGAGGTTCTTAAATTCAGTGATCATCGGGAACTCGGTTTATTATATTCCATTTATGCACATCACATTTCCAAAGTGGTCATCTTTCTTAACCAGTGATTGGAAAGCTATGGGTTAATTAGTGATTAATCAATAAAAATCATTATGATCTACAAACAAAAATTTTTAAAATCTAAAAGTATTTTCAGAATTTGAGCATTTAAATTGTTTCAACTTGATATGGAAAAACATTTTATAAGCTAAAAAATAAAATCAATTTTTTCAGTCTACATTTCAGATTGCTTTCAATATCAATATAGTTTCATTCAGATATTTTATGTCATTTTTTTTTGTGTAAAATTTAATGTCTATTTAATAAAACATGAATCAACCAAAATATTTTTAGAACATCAAGACATTGAGCATTCAACAAAATTTGTATTTTTATTGCTAAATTAAGAGAAATCAGATCCATTTCTGCCTTCTTTAAAAAAAAAAAGTTAGCTATTTTGAGAATTAATTTCTTCAAGAAACGTTTGAACTTCCCATTATTAACATGTAAAATTTTCCATTTAGTTTCTTAATTTTTCTGAGAAAAAAAACTAACAAATTTATGTACCTTTTTTGTTAATATTCTTCAATCAATATCCAGATTTATTTTTATCAAGATAGTTGTTTGAAGCTCATTGTTTTGGTTTGTAAATTGGTGCAAAAATTCAACCTTTAAACAACCTTTTCCTTCCCAAGGTGTTGTCTGGTAGACAACGTACAAAATGTTAGTTGATATAATAGGTAATCTTTGCATGACATAACAGTCATACACATTGACTGAATGCAGGTTGTCCAGGTTTCTATTAAATAGGGTATTGCAATATTTATATTAAAAAAACAAACCAAGTGTTCTAAGAAATAGGGTCAAATAAAATTTTCAAAACAGATCTGGAATTTTTGCAGGAAACATATACCCAGAATCCATCTGAACATGGTATTTGTGTTTAATCACCAGGGATAAAAAGGTACCTGACCAAGCTTTGATGTTGCTTATCTAGTAAATTGGTGATCACAGTCGCTATAAGAGGGATTTTTGCTCCTCAATTATTAATTCTAAACCAGGGTTATCCATTATATCACCCACATTGAAAAAAAGCTTACAGCACCTGGGAGTATTGAATATTTTCAAGGTTTTGTGAAACTCATCTAGATACTGAACAATGCTTGAGGTTGCTTCCTAAAACATTTGGGGAGGAACTACAAAAAATCCGATTTCCATTAATTTCGAGCCTCATCCATTAGAGATGATTTGAATGTTCAGAAATAATTAAACTGTTAATTGTACAACTTCTAAGTGATAAAATGGAAACCAGTGTTTCAACCACAGATCTTGAATGGACATAAGTTTTTTTTTTTTCAGAAATACCATTGAGGAACAAAACTAAATGATGTACATACCATTTTTAAAATTGACATAACATATAACATTGAATCATTAAAATGGATGGAAAAATAAACTACTAGATCAGGATAATAAATGAAACCTAAAAATTGTTTTTAAGAGAAAGATTTGAAATCAATCCTTGATGCCAAAGGTACCAATATTTCTTCAAAAGACATGATTACCACTAAAGATAAGGAGCAGAATTTGAGACATGAAGAACTTCATTCTGATCAATGAATGGCCTTTATTCTAAAGAAATGAATATTATGCTTAACATTACAGATGAGGAGAAAATATTTATGTATATAATAATAATAATTGTTTAAGGAATGGGTAATATTCAATGAGAGAGATAAAGATCTACCCAGGGAGTAAAGAAACATAATTTCACATTAAAGAAGAAAAAGTAGCAATGAATCAAGCAAAATGGCTAATTTGACCATTAACAAGAGAGAAGACATCAGGAATTTGATTGATACCCAGGGATCTTATTTGAAAAATGAATGCCAAATGTTTCTTTGGCAATGGACCATTCTTTAGAGATAATACTATTTTGATCAGAAAATCCCGCCAAAATCACCGGTTGCCATTTCTTATAGGGAAATTTTTCTGAAAAAAAAAACTTTTCGAAGCCTGAATGAAGAAAATTTTCAAAACTTAAAGAATTCATTTTTGGTTGACATTAAATTCAAAGAGATAGTACATTTGTAAGCCTGATGTCTTGAAGCTTGGCTGCTATTTGAAATTTTTTTTATAGGAAAAAAATTAATTAAAAGATTTCTTTCCAAATTAGAAAAAAGAAAAAAAAAAATTTTTTTTTTTTAATTACCTTAACTTGCAAAAATTCTGGTCTCACAGACAG